ATGACAAATTTAATGTAATCAAACAGAGTCCCTACATCTTAGAAAGTCACCCATTTATCACATGTAATGTGTTGTTTCCTTTTTATGCGACGGAGTTCTCTCCTACATTCTGAGGATCAAAGCACTTTTAGATAGTAGTACACCGGACACTGGTGACTATTTTCTTTAATATATGCTTCTGAAAGTGTGCCCTAGGTGTATTTGCTTGATGTACTGTTGTATATTTGCTAAAAATAGGTGAATTGTTTTGGTCACAATTTACATTTAAAATCAGTTATTTGCTTATGCCTATCATTGATCGAGTAAAATCTGAAAAACCTGGGTTTTCCTTTTTCTTTGGCAGTGTTATATACTTATTCGGTGCCTACTGTCTTCTACCTGTGTTTTTGCCCCTTCAATGCTGGTGCCTGGACTATGAGCTTTGCCTTTTGACATTTTCTTTTCCTCTGCTGCTAGGTATTGTTCCTTTTGTCCAGATTTTTCTTTATACAGGTTCCTTTTATGTACATGCACATCTATCATTTGCCAGGTTCAAACAAATTAAATAGTATTAAAGATCTGGAGCTAAAGCATGAGTTCCACTCAAAATGTATGCATGCTTTTGAGTTCTGACACCTTGAAGAGATGTGTTTACTACATGCAAAAGATGCGTTTACTTCTCTACACACGGCGACATAGTTTAATGAATTTTTATGAGTGATTGTGTGATGTAGACTTTAGGGAATAAAAACATACAAGCATTAAGAAAAGTAAGCTAGCATTAACAAGGGTTCTAAGAATTTGATTCATAAATGCAGCCAAGATGCGGAGCGGTGGTCGACGGCGGCGGCCTGCAGCTCCCAAGTTGCAGGTGAGAAAATAATGTGGCGGTTGTTGGTTTGCATAAATACTGATCGAGGCATTGTGAGAATATTTTGTGAGGTATCCTGATTGGCATATCCTAATGTGGCGGTTGTTGGTTTGCATAAATACTGAATAGGGAAACTTCTGTCATTTTCTTTGGTCTCGGAAAAATAAATGGTGATATGGACTGATACACTGCTAAATTACATGATACAAACTCACTTCTCTTTTTTGATTTTTGGTTTACTTCGTTGCGCTACAATGGCTCTCCTAGGAATGTTCTTCCATGCTTTGATGTGCACAATCCAGAAAGTGCATGCATCCAGAAACCAAATAGGATTTTTTATGTGTTATCTTCTCATAAATCTTGTGCTCGTCCAATAAGAATAAGGTTTGGTGGTATTGCTTTTGTCTGTCACCCGGTAGATTTCAGACTTCAAGCTAGCTGCAGTTATTTCAGGTTATATGTGCAAATCCTTGGTGTGACATGATTGGTAACTGACCATGAATACCTTGCAATCTGATATGTCTAATTCTTGATTTATGTGATACCATGGTCTAAAAATTGGTCCTAAAGATACATGATGTTTTTATACAAAGTTGAGACAGTTATTTTTGAATGGAGGGAGTATTAGATTATTTTGTTCCTTTTTAATTTGGTTCTAAAGATATAGTTTCAGAGTGATCATTTTGCATCAGTCAAGCTTGCCGTTGTTACAAATAATTGTTCTGTTGTCCTCAATTCACTTTCTCGGTTTTTTAATGCTACAAGCGTTATTGTTCCTGTTTTTTTAGTTATTGATCATGCCATTTTTCTTTCTGCCTTTGTAGCTGAAAGATTAGTGAGACTGACTAAATTCTGAACATGTTCCATGTGAGAGAACTAGCATGTTGATTTCATCTTGAAATAATCATAGCTGGGGGACGAGGTTTGTAACTGAGGGTCATGTGCAGAGCCGGAGGAAGAAGTTGCGAGGCTTGGAACTCTCCTTGTGAAGGGCTCAGGGACAAGAGTGAGGACTATGCCTCTTTAGTTGTAATTGTGGTACTCCTGATGTGCAAGTAAACACTCATGTGATACTCCTTATGCTAAAATGTTGGTTGTTCGTACAGAGGTGGTGACATTATTTGGTTCTCTGGTATTGATTTCATGATTTGTGGTTAATATATGACGTAATACAATCCACATTGCACTATATTTTCAGTTACATCTCCTACCTACTCACTACTAACATTCTTTCTAATTCGGTTCTTGCGCCATTGGCGCAACCGGGTCATCTAGTTAAGGTAAAACCCAACCATGGCATTATAAGGCATCAAGTCCTCTTTTATTCCCATACGCAAATAACCTACTTACTCGGGTCTGTGCTTCTGTCACTCACGCCACCCATCATAAGCAAATCATGAACATATTTCAAACCCTACAGCGGGGATCCCTCACGCTTGCGCGACACAGAGAGCACCATAGGATATCGCCAATAATAAAACATGCAACTCAAACCAATCACGATCATCAATTAACCCATAGGACAAAACGGATCTACTCAAACATCATAGGATAGCCATACATCATTGGAAAATAATATATAGCGTTGAGCATCATGTTTAAGTAGAGATTACAGCAGGTAAAAGAGGGGTTACACCGCTACATAGAGGGGGAAGAGTTGGTGATGACGGCGGTGAAGTTGTTGGTGTAGATCGTTGTCGCGATGATGGCCCCGGCGGCATTCCGGCGCCACCGGGAGAGAGGGAGAGAGAGCCCCCCTTCTTCTTCTTCTTCTTCTTCTTCTTCTTCTTCTTCTTCTTCTTCTTCTTCTTCTTCTTCCTCTTCTTCTTCTTCTTCTTCCTTGACCTTCCCCCTAGATGGGAGAAGGGTTTCCCCTCTGGTCCATGGCCTCCATGACGGCGGAGGGG